TACCATAACTTATATTATTTTTATTTTAGAAAAATAAAGTTAAATTCCACGCGGACGAAGTCGCATGCACAGCTAGTATAGAAATAAATCTAATAAATAGAGAAAATTTTAGATATAAAACTGTCGTGTCACAATGTCACTGACCATACTCCTCCGAAACGGCTTGATCGATTTTAATGAAGTTTTCTGTGATTACGGCTGCACATTTGCAACAATCCGGCTCGAAGGACCACAATGAATACTTTTATCCACGAATCCCCAAGAGTGTACTTTGATTAGGGTAGTTAAATAAATTAACGCCATCTAGTGGCACACTTAGGTCGGATTTCACCAATAGTAGCATAAACACGTTCAAGGAAACGGAGTTCAGCGTGAACTCGAAAAAAAGAACGAAGTTGATCTCGTTTTACTTTAAATGGAATTCACCAACATTATACAGATCGCGTTTACCAAAATGAAGTTTAGATTTTCATTCGTTCACAGTGTTACACGCTCATAAAATAATATTTGATGCAATGGGTAATTTAAATAAAATAATTCTAAGAAATATTTATAATTCAATCATGTGATAATTAGGATAAGTTTTTTAATTTTTAATTTAATAAGTACCGTCGACTACAAAGTATAAAACATCAACTTTTACCTATAGACTAGTAAAAAATATTTTATTGAGGTTTTTTTTATATCAGTAGCAATTTTCTTTTTATTCCCGATATTGTATTGTCCAAAATTTGATTGATGACTGTTTGACAACTGACAGCTGCTTTAAATACGTTTAAAGAGTTAACCGTAGGAAATCAGACGTTCAGAATTTATAAACGTGTTTAGTGAAATTTGTAGTGGTGAAATGCAAAATGATGCTTTGAACACGTTAAAACATTTTAATGGCGTTCAGTACGAACTAAACGCGATCAGTTTCTTTGGTGAAATCCGACCTTAGGAACTAAAACAAATGTTATCACGTTAGATTGTACACTTTTAACTACCATAACTACCATATATAATTTGAAGCTGTGACGTGGTCGAGTGGAATGAGTAGTCATGCTCACTAAAATGTCCAGACATGTGGCGGCGTGGTGGGCCGGGTCATTGGGCTCCCTAAAATATGGTCGAGCGCAGTGATGGCTGGCTCATCCGTCATATCGTGTACGAGTGCTGCTTGTAGGGACTGGTCTGCTCTTATCACTACGACTGATTTAATCTTATTGCATATTTATATTTGACCCAAAAAAATTAGTGCTGGTTGGTAGTTTGTATTCACACGTTTCGATTTGTAAATGTAAACTTACAAGGATTATTAAAAAGAGCAACACACAAGTTTCTTGCTTGTTCTTATTGTGATGAGCTTAGCGAACGAGTGGTAGATAAAAAAAAATGTTATGACTATTCAAAAGTGCTTAAATTAAGTTTATTTGAGTAAATGATTTTCTATTCTATTTGTTTCTTATTATTGCTTATGTGTATCAGATAAAAATATCGTTTCTTTCTTTTTCTTTCTATCGCTCCCAAAGATTGGAGGCTGGAACAAGGAGCAACTTACTCATGTAAATGAATGAACCTCTGATTTACCGACGATTGTCTCTGCGCCCGCCTTTTTTACCACTTTTTACCCCTCAGAGTTAATTACTGGCAACGGTCGTGTCTTTGTTTGTATTATACAAGTAAAGTTACGTTCTTATTGTAGTAGGAAACTAGCTACGACCCACATGATGGAAACTGGTAATTGGAGACTATATTTGACGACCTCGGTGGTCTAGCGGTCTAGTCACCGCTTTACGACCGATGGTCGCTGGTTCGATTCCTCGCACGGCACAAATATTTGTATTCATGAGTATGATTGTTTGTATCTGTCTGGGTATTTTCTATGTATAATATGTATGTATCTACAAAAAAAATATTTATGTATATGTATCAGTTATTTAGTACCCATAACACAAGCTTTAGCCAGCTTAACTTGGGTCTAGAAACTTTTTGCCACGCACAACCACATTGTGGAATCACCTTCCAGCAATGGTATTTCCGAATAAATATTGAAACCTTCAAGAAAAGAGCTTATTCCTTACGAGCCGATAACGTACTATAACACAGGGGACAAACGAGCATGCGACTCACCTGATGGTAAATGATTACCGCCACCATCCTGATCATCTGGATGAATGGCGGTCCTCCACAGTGCGGTTTTCTAGAAACTTTTTGCCTCGCACAACCACATTGTGGAATCACCTTCCAGCAATGGTATTTCCGAACCGATACGATAATGAAACCTTCAAGAAAAGAGCTTATTCCTTTTTAAAAGGCCGACAACGTACTTGCAATTCCCCTGGTGTTGCGGGTGCTTATGAGCGGCGATAATCACTTACCATCAGGTGAGCCGCATGCTCGTTTGCCCCCTGTGTTATAAAAAAGACGTGTGAATTGTGCTGAAAAAAAATTAAGATGTATCGAGATACATTGAAATATCAAAGTGGTAACTGTCATCGCGATGGTTGTCGACGACTATATATATCGGCCGCGAGGCATCCTAACGTAATTAACACCTGTACCAGTGGGGTGTTACAACAAAACGACACCGTGTACCGACTCTGTTTTGCATATTAAAGACTTTGCATGTCTTCGCCGTACGGTCACTGTATACGCTGCTCAGTTTTTTTAACGAATGTAATAATTACATAGTATAAAACAAAGTCGCTGTCGCTGTCTGTCCATCCCTATGTATGCTTTCTAATTTTTTTTATATTATACTCATAAATTTTACCCTTATTACATCAATCCAAATTTTTCATCCATTTATCATTACATATTAAAAAATAAAGTCGCTGTCGCTGTCTGTCCGTCCTTATTTGATTAAATCTTTAAAACTATGCAACTGATTTTGAAGCGTTATTTTTTAATAGATAGAGTGATTCAAGAGGAGGGTTTATATATATAATACATGTACACTCGTGCGAAGCCGGGCTGGGGAGACCGCGGGGGTGGTTCCACCCCACCACACTAGCCCCGAAGAAGTTGCGAGCATCTCCCCGCGCGCCTTCTCCAGGGAAGACGGGGCAAGAAGTGGGTTTCATTAGGGAACCAGCAGAGATAGGGCCCGTGTTATAAAAAAAAAGAGTGGGCCACCGCCGTCTGAGTTGCAGTGGATTGATCTCGATCCTGCGACTCCGGCATGTGGCGTTGGGTGAGGTACATCTTAGAGTTTTTAGTGAATAGGAGTCTCAGTACCCGCTTCCTCCCCCGCAGCCATGAGGGATATTCTCTAAGTCAAAAAAAGCAGACCTTGTGTTATGGGTACAATATAAATACTTATATACATTTTTGGATGAAATGGCGACAGGTCTCGGAAACGATATGCGACCCCCGAATGCCCTTGAAACTAAAGGGTAAAGTTTATAAATCTATCATAAGACCTGTCATTTTGTATGGATCTGAATGTTGGGCCGTAAAGCGGATGGATGAAAGGCGTGTGCATGTGACAGAAATGCGAATGTTAAGATGGATGTGTGGGGTTACCAGGAATGACAGAATAAGGAATGTGTATATACGAGGAAGTTTGAAAGTTGCGCCGGTTATAGAAAAGTTGCGATGTAACAGATTGAGCTGGTATGGGCATGTTATGAGGAGGAACGAGGACCATGTCTTATGGAAAGTGTATAATATGAATGTGGATGGATGTAAAGGGAGGGGACGCCCTTAGAAAAGATGAATTGTGTGAAAGATGATATGAATAAAAGAAGAGTATGTTCAGATATGACGACCGATAGAGAGCAGTGGAAATCAGTGGAATAGAATGACATACTGCGCCGACCACAAATAATGGGATAAAGGCAAGGCAATGATGACACATTTTTTTTTGCAGTAAACATCCAGATTTATACAAACATTCATAAGTCATTTACTAAAATATAAATTCAGGTCGGTATAAGTGTCAGTAACGAGAATACAGTCGAGTGCGAAATCTTCACATGCAAACCGTCTGCAGCCGGAGGGGAGTATTTCACGTTATTCGACATTCTTCTCTTTATTACAACATGTCCATCATATCGAACACTGTTTCAGCAAAATCAATAAGTAATATTTATTTACTGTACTTGTATTTTTTTAATAGATAATGATACACATTCCATCTATATATTTGATGGGACGTAACTTGATAACAATGTCAAAGAAATTTTAGATATGTTCTTTAACAAAATATCATAAATTTATGTAGACAAAAATCCTTGTAACGACTTCAAAATTGTATATAAATGAATAAAGAATAAAGTATAATACACCTAGGGTTGCCAACCAAATTCAAATTCAAAAATAATTTATTCATGTAGGACATTTTAGCCACTTATGAACGTCAAATTTTTACATTATAATTTTAATTTTTTCCATACCGTCCAGTTCGATATATAGATCCAATTGAGAAGAACTAGCAAGAAACTCAATTGAACTACTTTTTTTAAAAGCCAGTTTATTTACTATGTATATTTACATAGGTGTCTATGTCTAACATTAAATGAAAATCCAGTGCATGAACAACTATTGCCATGCACGCTCGTCATTCAAGTAATCGTTTAGTGAGTAATAGGCTCAGTAACGATACTTTATAATAGCGTATCCTACTTTATTTTTGATAATTATACTTTGACACTACTATAAGTTTATTTGAATAAATATTATTTCTATTTCTATTTCAATCAAACATTACAATTAATTAGTAGTTGATAATGTTTTTATACGGAATCCAGTTGAGGAATGCGCGGTACAAAAACATTATTATCATTTATAAATTCTTCAATTTTGTAATAAGATTTTTTACAAAGTAAATATTTTATAAGATATTATATCTTTTTTCTGGAAAATTGAGGATATATTGGTACACCCGCCTGCGTTAACGGTATACGCTGGCGGGGCATCAGTGGAGGATGATAAGATGAGTATGGGGTCAGGTCAGGTCGCCCATCGTGATGAAAAAAACACAATTAAAGCGGAATACAAACGTCTCGTTATACCTCTTACTCGTCGCGTTTGTTTCTCTTCCTAAAATCATCGTAGATCGACTCTATGGAGGTAATCGTTTGGATCCATGGAAGGTACGAGAACATCTGTATGAAACGAGATGGTGCCGCGCATCCCGGACCTCGTAAGCCAAATCCAATCTAGACAGACAAACTGTTGTATTAATAATAATCTTAAGACAATTCACACAGTGCGATTCCATTTTTTTTATTAGGGTTTTTGGGTTATTGTCAGGTGTATGTAGCACCTGTTGCACTGCGACCTGCTATAGATGTATTGTGTTCGCCCTTTTTCAGAGTTCGCTACCTAGACCCGTCAGGGACAAGAATTGAAGGATATTCTTAGGAGCGATAGTTTTTATCTCCTCGGGAAAGAGTGTAAACTTTCCAAAGGAGATATTTCGTTTATGCATGTAACACTGCGACCTGCATGGATCTATTTCAAAGATCGCTACATAGACCCGTCAGGGACAGGAATTGAATGATATTCTTAGGAGCGATGGTTTTTATCTCAGGATAGAGAGTGTATTTTCCAAAGGAGATATTTCGTTTATGCATGAGTGGGCTGCAACCACATAATCTCAAGGTAAGCGGAGCTCGTGTCATGGGTTTTTTACTGTACTTTACACTGGCGGGACACCAGTGGAGGATGATGAGTTTTTTTCGGACTACTCTAATGCTGTTGGTCGCAGCTGATCTTTACAGCTTCACCGGACGATAGAGGGCAAGTGCAGATAGCACTCCAAATCCGCGGATGACTTACGGAGCGGCTGAAGGCCAACTCTCGCCTGACGGATACCGCTTTAGTCTGAGAGCACCGTTAGGAGTTCTAACCTCGGCTCAGGCTGTATTATAACTGACGTTTACGTCGCACAGTGCTTTGCTTCCAATCGTCGCGGGTTCAATTCCCCGCACAGTGTAAACATTTGTATTCATGAGTATGATTGTTTGTATCGGCCTGGGTGTTGTCTCTGTATATATATTTACAAAAAAATCTAATTATTTATATCAATTGTCTAGTACCCATAACGCAAGCTCTGCTTACCGTGGGACTAGATGGCGCTGTGTTGATTGTCCAGGGTTATTTGTTTATTACTTACAACAATCTACGAGAAGCCTAAATTCATCACGGTGTAACTATGAATTATGAAATGAAAAAATGAAGAAAAAACCTTACCAGCATCCATGCACCAGTCGAATTTGAAATCATAACCATTCCACTGTCCCATACACAGTTACCCCTATTGTTAGCAGCAAAGCCACATTGCAAATTTGTCGGAGAAATAATCGTACCTGATTGTAGCTGCAAAAGAATCTTTGTTTAAAACAAAATAAGTGTTACGTGACCTGACATTGAGGGTGATGCAGCTGGAATCGAGTCACAACCCGAGTTTCACAACGTTCGTGACCCGGATCCCCATCACTATTTGCTGCTGCGCAACCAAATAGATAATCCCGCAGTTGTAGAACGGATAGGATTCAATATTCCTCTGAATTACGTGAAGTGTCACCTGTTGTCGTGTCTGACTGTTTGCAACCGCGTCGGTACTCACAAGCCACGCTAACAAATCACCCACTATGAGAGCATTGCAATTATTAAATCTTTTTTAGGTAAGGTCCAAAATGCTGACATGTACACAGAAGCCTTGCCTTCCATCTATACTAATGTTATAAAGAAGAAAGATTTATATTTTTGTGTGTATGTTTGTATTGAATAAGCTCCGAAACTACTGGATCGATTTGAAAAATTCTTTCACCATTTGGAAGCTACACTATCCCTGAGTAACATAGGCTATATTATATCCCATCAAAACATAAATGTGAAATGATAGCCGAGTTTAAATATTATGATATATGCCTTGATTGTTAACTTCTACGACAAAAGAGATGAGATCTAAATGGGTGCCAAGTTCAATGGTCTGTCCTGAAATGTATTTATAACAATATAAAATATCATTTCTTCTTATAACTTAGGATAATATACTGTAGCCTAAGTTCTAACTTGGCCAGTTCTCATATACCAATTATTACTTTCGATTGCTAGTTACTACTAATATTAAAATAGGAACCGACAAGTAACATGTTTAGAACTTGCGAAGGCTACAGTATATTTCGTATATGAAAACTAGCCAAGTTAGACCTGATTTTTTCCTTTATATTCACCTAATTACCTATCTGCATGCCAAATTTGAACTTCCTAGGTCATCTGGAAGTGGGTTATAATTTTGATCTATAGTTGATCAGTGATAAAAATGACGATTTTTGGGCATTAATATCTAAATAACCGTTTGAAATATGTTTATGAAATTTGGAATACATATTTATCTCGCAAGTTTCAATATATGAACCAAATTTGACAGGTTTATGTGAAAGAGTTTTTGAGTTATGAGGGGGTCAAAAGTGGCTCCAAATGGTTCGTGTAAATATACACACGGTGCTGCTCGCCAGTTTACTTGAAACTCGGCTTGACACGCTACCGCGTGTCTAGATTTCCAAAAAAATTAGGGATCCTTACTAAAACTCTAATAATGAATCCCAAGGTGTAAAAATATTACATAAAAATTACCTAACACTGCGTGCGTTTAAATAAAATAAGAATATTTTTATCACTGTATAGTTTAAGTAGTAAAAATAGTTTTAAAATATAAACGTGTTGGCAATTAGGTTCAAGTTTATATTATGTTAATTTAATAAATAAATCAACATTGGGAATTGGCTATTGTCTTATACATATTTAAAGTATTTCGGGGTCAAATCACCAATTCTCTGGTTCTTGGTTTGATAAGTTTTAGGGTACCAGATAATTACCTGGGGCGGCGACGTAGGCCCCAGTTATTAGCGGTACCTCGCGGCAGAACTAATTTATTAAACAAGGCGTCCATGACACTCGCACTGGCCACTCTCAATAAAATAGCAGAAACAACGGATTTGTTTGTGTGTAGTCTGTGTGAATTCACAAAAACAACATTGTATGTTATATGTTATGTTAACGAATATGTATAATATAGAATTAGATACACTATTGTATTGGGCTTAGGCCTGTAATAATAGTTGTGTAAGTAAATAAATAAATAAATAAATAAATAAAACATGCTGCCCACCTACGTGAAGGAGGACTACTGGCTGAAGGGTGTGGTATATCGGCGCTACCGTGGTAGATTACCGTCATCAGTGCCGTGACCATACAGACAATTTGAATTTATATTTTATTATTATTTCTTATAAATATAGACAGTTTCAAAATAGTTAGTGATTGCACTAATAAAAGCTTACGTAACAATAACAAACTGATTTTACCTAAATGTCGTTTAACTAAAAAATTAAGAGTTCGTTGATGATAATAATGTTTTAGCAGAAAAACTAAGATTAAGATGTGTAGTGGTTTCTGTGTTGATTATCGCATGCCTCTTACTTGTTATTGTGTAAATATATATTATAAAAAACATCTATTCAAAAGAGCAGCAAATTTCTTGCTCATTCTTCTTGTGATGAATCTGCATATACAGCTAGTATATGTATATATAATATATATAACTTACACTAGATCTGTTATAGAATTCAGCACATAGCTCCTGACTTATGTATTGTAATTTATATAAAACTTTTTCCAACAGCTGCCGTTCTGAAAACCAAATTATTTTTTTATATGCAACTTGGTAATTTTTTTAAAGGTAATTGCAAATATTTGTGTTTATGAATATGATTGTTTTATCGATGTGGGTTTTTTTTATGTATTTTATGTATGTGTAATAATAATAATCTCAGGACAATTCACACAGCGCCATCTAGACCCAAGTTAAGCTAGCTAAAGCTTGTGTTACGGGTACTAGATAACTGATACAAGTACATAGATTTTTTTTCGTATATATATACGTATTATATATAGAAAACACCCAGACCGATACAAACAATCATACTCATGAATACAAATGTTTGTGTCGTGCGGGAAATCGAACCCGCGACCATCGGAAGTAAGGCGGTGTGCTAAATTGGGACTTGATGGTGTAAAACAGTATGATTAACTTACCGTCAGTGTATCCTACAGCATACAGTTCATTGGATGTGTTAAATGAGTATCCTGGCCAGCAAATAGGCTTGAATGGAACTGTAGAAATGTTATATAGTTGTGTAATCTAAGTTTGTAAAAAAAATAATGATGTTGTAGAAAAAAAAAAATTCACAGCGCTGACAATATCCTCTGATTGCACTATGATTTTTTTTTATATAATACAAGTGACAAACGAGCATGCGGCTCACCTGATGGTAAGTGATTACCGCCGCCCATGAGCACCCGCAACACCAGGGGAATTGCAAGTACGTTGTCGGCCTTTTAAAAAGGAATAAGCTCTTTTCTTGAAGGTTTCAATATCGTATCGGTTCGGAAATACCATTGCTGGAAGGTGATTCCACAATGTGGTTGTGCGTAAATGAATACATGAATGAGTACGTAGCGGTATCTATGTTGATCATCGTATGCCTTTTGCTTGTTATTTTGTAATTATTTATTAAAAAAAAACATTTATTCGAAAGAGCAACACACAAGTTTCTTACTTATTCTTCTTGTGATGAATCTGTGTTACGAATGAGTGATGGAATAATAAAAATATTGAGTTCATTTGAATGAAGATTATTTCTATTTCTGTTTTTGAAATAAAAATTTAATATGTATGCGTCTATAAACGAGCAGTAACAAGACATAGAAAGAATCTTCATTCAAATAAACTTAATATAAGCATTTTTAAATATTTTTTTTTATTCCACCACTCCTTCGGAATGGAACTCATCACAAGAAGAACGCGCAAGAAACTTGCGAGTTACTCTTTTAAATAAATGTTGTTCGAAGTATATAGAACGTGATACGTGCCGAGGTTCGAACCCCTAGTGGTGCCCTCAGACTCTGCACTAGCCCCTACCGTCCGGTGAAGCTGTAAAGGCCAGCTGCGGCCAACAGCATTAGAGTAGTCCGAAAAAATCTGGAAAATAACATAGTAAATAATTATTACCTTCTTCGGAGTCGAGTTCAACGAGAGCAATAGTGTTGTAAGTGGAGAATTCGTACTCGGGGTGAGTGATGTAGTCGATTAGTCGGCTGTACCACGGTTTTCCATTTGTAGGTACAAACATCGCTTGACTGTCTTCCCTGTCAAAATGTATTTAATTTATTTATTAAACAGACAAGAAAGAAAAATATATTATTCAGTGCTTTTCAACAATGTTACAATATAAAAAACAAACGAAAAATTTAAGATCAAATAAAATGTATATATAATTAAACTTAATTTACTATGTAGATAATTAAAAATAAACATAAAATAATCATTTTTTACATACATACAGGCACTGAAATGGCTCCACTCAGCTGTAATGTATGTAAAACGAGGAAATATATATATATAAAAGGGGGAGAGAGAGAAGGCACTATTTCCCTTCCGATCGATCCCCCGTCCAAATCAAACGGGGATGTTACGACGGCCTGAGCCGAGGTTCGAACCCCTAGCGGTGCCCTCAGACTAAACTCGTATCCATTAGGTAAGAGTTGGCCTTCAGCCGCGTCCTTCCACGGGTTTGGAGTGCCATCTGCACTCGGCCCTTATCGACCGATGAAACTGTAAAGGCCAGCTGCGGCCAACAGCATTAGAGTAGTCCAAAAAAAAAGCTTTTTTCATTAGACAGTACAAACATGTTTTGTTTAGCGCCGCCGGGCCGGTACCGCCGCACCGCTATGGCTATCTTTTTCTAAATCTGTAATATCTTCGGAAAATATTTATTTTAAATAGTGCCCACTTAAAATATTAATGATAATAATTAAAACAAAGTTACAACTAATAAATACAAACTAATTAAATATAGTAGAAAGAAAGACAGTACGGTTAAGGCAGTTTGTTCACTGGTGAGGTAATGGAGTGATTAGTTTTAGGGTACAATGAGACTGGCATGTACAAAAGTTCTTAAATTTAAAAAGAAATAAATAAACAAAAAAAAGTACTTCTAATAACAACAGTTCCTAAATTTAAAAAGAAATTTAAAAAAAGTATTTACTTATAATAAATCCGATGCAGTCAGATTTAGCTAAAGTGGAAACATGATAATTATTGATAAAAATCAAACACTATCAAACTAAGCTGCAGAATCACGTGCCACGCCACGAAGTACCTACATACGTATAAGATATATACATATATATATTATATATAAAAGTCACAGTCTTCGTTCCCATACTCCTCCGAAACGGTTTGACCAATTCTCATGAAATTTTGTGAGCGTATTGAGTAGGTCTGAGAATCGACAATATCTATTTTTCATCCCCCTAAATATTAGGGGTAGTCCACCCCTAATTTTTTATCTTATTTTAAGGCAAAACAACGTTTGCCGGGACAGCTAGTAATATCTAAATATATATAACTCAAAGGTGTCTGACGTAGTGATCTATCAACGCACAGCCCAAACCACTGGACGGATCGGGCTGAAATTTGGCATGCAGTTAGATGTTATGACGTAGGCAGCCGCTAAGGATTTTGATTAATTCTACCCCCAAGTGGATAAAATAGGGGATGAAAGTTTGTATGAAACTTTGTCAATTTTAAACCGATCGGGCTGAGATTTGCATGCATAAAGCTACTATACTAAGGAAGGATTTTGATAAATTCCACCCCTAAGGGGATAAATTAAAGCGAGCGAAGCCGCGGCCAAAAGCTAGTTATTGATAAAAATCAAACATTATCAAACTAAGCTACAGAATCATGTGACACACCACGAAGTACGTATGTATATATAATAATATCACGTGATTGTGCAATAACATAAGTTATTTTGATCGATAATGTGATCACATGCGAGTTGCGGCGTCTTTTATCTCCAAGAGATGACGTCATATGTATTCTAAATCTGGATTAAGTCTGGTCCAAAGAACAAACAAATACTAATAGATTATTTTTGACGACCTCGGTGATCCAGTGGTGTAGCACACCGCCTTACTTCTGACGGTCGCGGATTCGATTCCTCGCACGGTGCAAACATTTTTTTTTTATTTATTTAATAAAGATAATTGTACAGTTGTTTTTATACATTGACTCGCCAAACTGTAGAACAGTTTGTTGGCAAGATATCGCTCAGTTTTTTTTAATAATTTGTATACATGTAGGTTATAATATATATAATTGCGACTTTGAAGTGGCAATGGGCAGGGCACATAGCTCGTAGGACAGATGGCCGTTGGGGCAGTAAAGTCCTCGAGTGGCGACCACGGACCGGAAGACGCAGCGTGGGAAGGCCTCCAGCAAGGTGGACCGACGATCTGGTCAAGATCGCTGGAAGGCATTGGATGCGAGCAGCGCAGGACCGATCGTCGTGGAGATCTTTGAGGGTGGCCTATGTCCAGCAGTGGACGTCTTCCGGGCTGCGATGATGATGATGATGATTAGTATGATTGTTTGTATCTATCTGGTTGGCTGGTGTTTTCTATGTATAATATGTATGTATTTACAAAAAAGAAATATCTATGTATCAGTTATCTAGTACCCATAGCACAGGCTTCAGCTAGCTTAACTTGGGTCTAGATGGCGCTGTGTGAATTGTCCTGAGATTATTATTACTATTTTTCAATCCACATTGTATGACAAACGTACAATAGTTCTTCATGCATAGAATTTATTTCATTGTAGACACATACATAAATGTACAATGTAAATAAACTGACTTAAAAAAAAAAATCAGTTGAGTTTCTTGCCAGTTCTTCTCAATTGAATGTGATATAATCTAATCTATATACTGAACTGGATGGTAGAGAAAAAACGCAAAAGTAAAAAAAAAAGGAAAAAAAGTAAATTTCTACCTCTTACTCTAATTAAATTAATATTTTTTAATTATGGTAAATTAAGTTTAATTATATGTACATTTTATTTGCTCTTTTTTTTCGTTTGTTGTTTATATTGTATTTTTTACATTGCACTGAATAAAATGTTTTTCTTTCTTTCTTCTTTCTTTCTTATAATTTTCTGTGTCAAGTCTGTATAGCAATTTGAAAGAAGAATATTGTAGAGCGGCAGAATACTGTTAGTAATGTAAACTGATGACCAATGCATCACGACAGGTTGACCTCCACGCTTCAAGAAAAGAGCTTATTCCTTTTTAAAAGGCCGACAACGTACTTGCAATTCCCCTGGTGTAGCGGGTGCTCATGGGCGGCGGTAATCACTTACCATCAGGTGAGCCGCATGCTCGTTTGTCCCCTGTGTTATAAAAAAAAAGGTTATTCCACCTAGAAACCCATCGTGGTAATTTTTTTTTAATTTACCACGATGGACTACCTTTTACCATCGCACCGCTCGCCATCGACAGGGAATTCATCCCCACACGCTGGAACCTAAGTGGTCTCGGACAGTACGGTTTCAGAGGAGCTTCCTCCCGCGTACACTTAGATTGTGGAATGAACTACCTGCCGAGGTTTTCTCGAGAGACTACAGCATGGGGTTTTTGAAGAAGGGTATATTAAGGTTCCTTAAGAGTCGGCAATGCGTATGTGACACCCCTGGTGTTTCAGGCGTCCATAGGCTACGGTAACCGTTTACCATCAGATGGACCGTATGCTTGTTTGCCACCTAAGTGTTATAAAAAAAAACCTAACTGACCTGACCTCATGCTCATCCCATAATCTTCCACTGGTGCCCCGCCAGCGTAAACCGTTAGCGCAAGTTCACCATTCCATTATCATTGTAGGCGATAAAGGAAACCAGGGAGTTGTATCCTATATATATATTGTATATATTAATATTATAAAGAAACACTACTAACTAGGGCCAGGAAGGGAAACCGAAAAAGAACAATAGATAGTAGTGACAATTTAGAAGATAATTTTGGTATTCGAAATATAAAGCATATAAAATAGTTATAAACAAATAAGTGGCCTGTATTCCACAATCATCCATAAAAAAAAATGTTATATTCATACTTTTGGTACACATATGTAAAAATATTGTCTTTTGATATTCATTACGTAGTATAAAACAAAGTCGCTGTCGCTGTCTGTCCGTCCCTATGTATGTTTAAATCTTTAAAACTTCGCAACGGATTTTGAAGCGATTCTTAATAGTTAGAGTGATTCAAGAGGATAGATTACATATGTACGCATACGGCTTCGCCTGGGTGTATAGGCGAAGCCGGGTCGAGTAGCTAGTTGTCCATAAAAATAAATTATAAAAAGCTACCTAAAAATAAAAAAAATTATAAGCTAAAAATAGCTGCCAGCTACCTTGGACAAAGAATTAGTCTAGCTATTCAAAGAGGGAACGCTGCCAGTATCTTCAGAACGTTGCCTAAAGGGACCCCTTTTAATAATATATTTTAGTCATCATATTATTTTTTTTTTTAAATTATAAAAATGTTATCTTCATACTATAGGTATATGTAAAAATATTGTCTTTTGAGACTTAAATAAAAAAAATTGTACATACTTAAATATATGTCTTGGTATTCGGGAGATCTCATCTGCGTTAGCCACTGCGTATCTCTCTCTCACTAGAACTATACCTGTAAGAGCGATCTTCAACGAAGCAGCTTCATCTGCAACATAATTTTTCTTCCCGTCCATAAACATTTATATCACAAAGGTACTTCTTAAACTATGTATATATATGTTTTATATATCTCCCTTTATACGGGAGTAATATGTTAAAATACGCGGGCCTTATCTTATATGATGATGAAGAAAGAAATTTCTTTACAACATATAGGCTGAAAATTTCACGCAGGTGAAATCGCGGGTACAACTAGTATTTCTCATATAAGTTATCTTATATATAAAATTCTCGTGTCACAGTTTTCGTTCCCATACTCCTCCGAAACGGCTTGACCGATTCTCATGAAATTTTGTGAGCGTATTGAGTAGGTCTGAGAATCGGGCAACATCTATTTTTCATCCCCCTAAATGTTAGCGGTAGTCCACCCCTAATTTTTTTTTATTTTAAGGCAAAACAACATTTGCCGGGACAGCTAGTAATTATATAAAATTTATCATTTATTTCACAACTATAAAACTTGTGTTCACATATCAATCGGGATTGGTCAGTTGTGCATCGCGCGTTGTGTACAATTACAATGATATCTCAAGACAATTCACACAGCGCCATCTAGATCCAAGTTAAACTAGCTAAAACTTGTGTTATGGGTACTAGATAACTGATACATATACATAGATATATATTTTATTCGTATATACTATTCGCATATTATACTTGAAAATATCCAGACCGATAAAAACAATCATACTCATGAATACAAATGTTTGTGCCGTGCGAGGAACCGAACCCGCGACTTTCGGAAGTAGCGATGTGCTAGTCTCAAGATAAGCAGAGCTTGTGTTATGGGTACTAGACAACTGATATAAATACATGGATACATTTGTAAACACATACATATTATACATAGAAAACACCCAGACCGATACAAACAATCATACTCATGAATACATCATCATCATCATCATCAGGTGACATTGAGATAAAAAAAAAATGTTTGTACCCTGCGAGGCATCGAACCCGTGACCATCGGTTAGTAAAGCGGTATGCCAAACCACTACACCATCGAGGTTGTCATCAAACGAGGTGAAACCTTACGTATATGCACTCTGAGCACACCCAGCCATGGAAACCTTGCCGTCTCCCCAAGATTGCCTTCTTGAAGGTCTCTGTCCACTGCCATATCACATGATTCTTGACAATAGAACCTTGGAAATATACCTTGGAAGAAATCAATCATTAAGTAATATAATATTTTTACGAGACAATCTCAAATAGAATATAAAATTTTGATTCATATAATACTAGCTATACGCCTCGACTTCGCCCGGGTGTACAGGTGTTATATATCTAAAACTTCCTCTTGAATCACTCTATCTATTAAAAGAAAGTGCTTTAAAATCCGTTGTATAGTTTTAAAGATTTAAGCATACATAGGGACAGACAGCGACAGCGACTTTGTTTTATACTATGTAATGATTTTACAAGCAACACCCCCCGCTTGGTGCGGTTGGTATATAGCGTGAGGTGATAATAATAATAATAATAATCTCAGGACAATTCACACAGCGCCATCTAGAAAAAGGTAAGATTTTTTTTAAAGCTTGTGTAGAATGGGTACTAGATAACTGATACAAATACATACATTTTTTTCGTAAATACATATATAATAATAAATATTTTTTCTTTCTTAATATATATAGAAAACACCCAGACTGATATAAACAATCATAATCATGAATACAAATGTTTGTGCCGTGCGAGGAATCGAACCCGCGACCATCGGAAGTAAGGCGGTGTGCGAAACCGTTATCGATCATAACTATAAATAACTGGCGGTAGATTTGACATATCATATACATATATATATATATATATATATATATATATATGTTCGGAATGATTCCGAGATGAGAAGAACTGACAAGAAACTCAGCTCGTATTCTTTTCAAATAAATGTTGTACATGTTTTAAATTTAAACTTACAAAATAAATTCATCAAAATCCATAACATACGTTCAACCTTCCACGTGAGAGCTGCGAGCGCCAGCATCCCAACCACATAAAATTAAGATGCATCTTAACAACCGTGTGTGTAATTACAACTGATTAATTTAACATAAACCGTTTATGGTGTTTTAAAACATTGATATTTGATATTTATTTATAGGTAAACTAGCTAGTCGCCCCTACTTTGCACGGGTGTACATGTATTATACATATAAACATTTGTTTATATATTTTTTTTTGTATATAATGATTTCATCTCTAATTTAATGAATTGTTTTTTATTTACGTTTAACTTATATAATAATTTATATGCAGCTTTTAGCATCGTTTTTATTGTGTTGTGATGTGTGATGTAACCCGTGTTACACACTATTCTATTCTATATATATAAACCTTCCTCTTGAATCACTCTAACTATAAAAAAAAACCGCTTCAAAATCCGTTGCGTAGTTTTAAAGATTTAAGCATATATAGGGACAGACAGCGACAGCGATTTTATTTTATATTATGTAACGATAATGACTATCTACTCGCCCCGGCTTCGCACGAGTGTACATGTATTATACATATAAACCTTCCTCTTGAATCACTCTATGAACTAAAAGAAACCGCTTCGTAGTTTTTCCGTTCCGTTCCGTTGCGTAGTTTTAAAGATTTAAGCATACATAGGGACAGACAGCGACAGCGACTTTGTTTTATACTATGTAATGAAGCGGTAGACCAAAGAAAGGGTGGGAAGATGTAATTGCTGAAGACATGGTGGAGTGCGAGATTTTATAAGACATTCACATTTTAGTTCATGAGTATGATTGTTTGTATCGGTCTGGGTGTTTTCTATGTATAATATGTATGTATTTACAAAAAAATCTATGTATTTGTATCAGTTATCTAGTACCCATTGTCGCGTACCAAGCAGTAACAAAACGCAATACAAAAGGGAGCGTGCTTTTTTTTTAGAACACAGGGGACAAACGAGCATGCGGCTCACCTGATGGTAAGTGATTACCGCCGCTCATGAGCACCCGCATACCAGGGGATTGGACTGCACACCCATCCAATTTAAATACGCAAAGTAACGTACAGACTTAAAAAATCAACCGATCGATCTAACGTACATTTTGTTCACTCCACTAAATTTGTAATTATCACAGTATTTAACCATTAAATTTAAGATATAAGCAAATCTATCATTTCTCCAACCCTGTAATCTGCTGAAGATAACCTCACCAACCATCTGAGCATTCATCACGTACCACCCATAACACAAGCTTTAGCTAGCTTAACTTGGGTCTAGATGGCGCTGTGTGAATTGTCCTGAGATTATTATTATTACTAGATATCTGATGGAAATAATTAGATAAATTATTATTTTGTAATTACGAACGTAATACATAAAAAAAACCTCAGAACGATACAAACAATCATACTCATGAATACAAATATAATGCAGTGGTAGATTAAAAAACATGTTCAAATTCAAATTCAAATTCAAAATATCTTCATTCATGTAGGTCTATTACAGACTCTTATGATATGTCAAATCTACCGTCAGTTCGGAATGATTTCGAGACGAGAAGAACTGACAAGAAACCCATCTCGTATATTTTTTTTAATGTTGTACATATTTACAATAATACTATTTCATTTAAATTCAAATTTGGGAGAATAAAGATTACCACTAGCATATGCTATATCAAAAAAAATTCAAAAATCATTTAATCATGTTCGACATTTTACCTGAAAGACCAGTCATTACAAGCAGCACCCGTACACGAGTATATGACGGATGAGCCAGCCATCATTGCACTCAACCAGTTTATTACAATGTATATTTATATCGTCTATGTCTAACACCACATGAACCGCCACAAGTTTGAACTTTATAGCGAGCATGACTGTTTCAAGTTACTCCACTACGTCATTTATATTATTTACAGCATAAACTGTACCAATCACAGTTTTCACCCATTACAATATTTAATTTACATTATTGTTCTTTCAAAAGTGCATGTATTGAGTTTATTTGAATAAAGATTATTTCTATTTCTATACATACCATTCGACGAATCAAACCAGCGACCATCAGAAATAAAGCATTGTCTTAAACCGCTGGACCACTGAGACCGTCATGAGTTTATTTGCAAGTTCATTCTAAACTTTAGCTTCTATGTGCTAGTTAGAAAGTTAAACATGCTCTTTTTTAACTGACGTTAGAAATTAGCATATTGTAGGTAATTGTGATATAAACGTGGTTTTCGCCGCGTACTGTCGAGTGTTGCCATATAAACTGCAATTAGGCAACACTGGTATATATCTTACTCGAGAATTTATAGCGGGAGCACTGCCCACACCAATTATTGTAAGTAGGATAGTTTAGTTTATTGCTAGTTACAACAAAAGTTTTTTTTATTAATGACTAGCTGTTTCCGGCACTTCGTCCGCGTGGAATTCAATTTTTTTTTAGTAAGAGTATCCTAAGTTACTTCTTATTACATTAGCTACCTGTCAATAAAAGTCCCATCAAACTCGGTCCAGCCATTTCAGAGATTAGCCGGAACAAACAGAGACAGACAGACAAAAATTGTAAAAAATGTTTACATTCATATGCATGTAGTAAAAAACGGCTATTTCAATATTACAAACAGACACTACAATTTTATTTATATGTATAGATAATGGAATGGTGCACCCGCCTGCGCTAACGGTTTACGCTGGCGGGGCACCAGTGGAGGATGATTAAGATGAAGAAGAAAAAAAAAAGTTTTAGAAAAATAAAGTTAAAATCCACAAGTCGCATGAATAGCTAGTAACTCATAAAGTTATAAGTAGCGCACGATACCGGGGCGATACACTAGTTTTAATCAGACAAAAACGTAGTCCTGTAGAGAGAAGGTTAAAAAGAGCAAGGTATGTTCCACTTGCGGCTGTTATCTGAACAGGTCGCTAACAACGACACGAACAAACAGGCTCGAACCTGTCCGCCACTTGTTATCAGTTGCCGTCCTTGTAAATTAGTCAGGCACCCTGGTGGTGGCCACATAGATCTTATATATAAACTCCCATAAAAAAATGCTGAAGAACTTGGAACGATGATCATCGGGCTAAAATATGGTCGAGCGCAGTGATGGCTGGCACATCCGTCATACTCGTGGACGAGTGCTGCTAAAAATTTCCTAAACGTAAACAAAACCTGGACTATAACAAATAGTGAACATTGAAAATAGTGTTAAAATAAGATTTCATATAATTGTATATGCGATGTAAGAATTCATAGAAATATAAATAGAAATAATCTTTATTCAAATAAACTCATTACAAGCACTTTTGAATAGTCATATTTTGATTCTACCACTCATTCGGAATGCAGATTCATCACAAGAAGAATGAGCAAGAAACTTGTGTGTTGCTCTTTTTAATAGATGTTTTTTTTATATAAATAATTACAGTATAACAAGTAAGAGGCATGCGATAATCAACATAGAAGTCGCTACGTATTCATTATTAATGTAATCAGATAATATTGTCAGTGCTATGGATTTAAAGTTTTTCTATAAAAACATTATTATCGTTAACGAATTCTTCAATTTTATAGTAAGCTTTTTTGCAAATGAACTGTTTTATTTGACATTTAAATCTTTTTTCTGACAGATTTATAACAGACTCTGGTATTTTATTGTAAAATTACGCAATTGCCATAAAACGAATTACTAACTTTAGCCAAACGACATTTAGGTAAAATCAGTTTGTTATTGTTACGTAAGCTTTTATTAGTGCAATCACTAACTCTTTTGAAACTGGCATTTTCCTTCTGGCATAGATGATATTTTCATAAATGTATTGAGAAGCAACGGTGAAGATATTTGATTCCTTAAAACACTCTCTCAATGACTCCCTGGAACCCATACCATAAATGGAGTAATGTAACAATACAACACAATGTAATGAAAACTGCGAAATTAGTAGTAAGATTTATATAATTGTATATGCATATTGGTAAATGTAACTGGCTCCTAATAAAGATAGGTGACACTGCACATTGTCAACTCACCCGACCGGCCAGCGGTGGTTCTGGGCCAGACGGATTGAAAAAGGAAAAAGTTGAATTAGATTACAATTAACTCCTACAATAGAAATTGACTCAAATTGTTTTGTATCGAATAGAATAGAATAGAA